TTGGCGGGAAGTCTGGACATTGAGCGTCACTAGACCATATGATGTGTCCCTGGTGTACTAATATCAGCTTTGAAAAATACGGCCTTGCAGCGAGCTGAACATCCAAGTAATGACGATTTCCAGAGCCAACGTGCCCTTCGAAAAGAGTCAATGTGATAAACGCCACAGAGAGAAAAATCGTTGTCACAATTTGACGTGTTGTTTAATTCGCGTGGCAAAGCCTCATATTCTTTTCTCTTTTTGCCCATGTAGTGTCTCCCAAACTTTCACAGCATGTATTATATAACACAGATATTGGGAAAAGTAAAGCAAATAAAAAGTATTCCCTTTCCTAGTAGTGAGCAGGCGTTCACTGGCACTTCTTTCACTGGAGCGGCTAGTTCAGATGTAAGTGATAAGCTGTTCAGGATATCGACAAATCGGGTGTTACGGACCAAATTAAGTACGTCTGATCTGTGAGTAAAACGCACAAAAAATGGAACATACTCCCCTTAAGCGGTGCATATTAGAGTTGTATCACCATACAAAACACACAGCCGGCTGTGTACGTGAATATCGCCTTTGTAAAAGCAGAACAGCACACGCCAAGCGATGGCGCTGAGGTCCCGGGAGTGCTGTTCGCCTCCAGCTCTGCCCAGCCGCTTCAGACAGCCAGCTGACTCGGGGCCAATTACGTCACCGGGTGGCGGCGACGGCCCGTGTGATCCCGAGGGGAGGCCCGGCACCGCCAGACGGGATCAGCAGCAGGCGCGGGCGGGTGTGACGTCATAGCCGCTGTCTCAGCCAGAACAACAGACGACGTCAATGCTGCCCCCCCCCCCCTTCCCGTCACAAACACGCACACAGTCATCATACGCATGGGGAACAAAGGTAACAAACACTAACTGGTAATATTACACCGTCCATGTGTAATGTCAGTGCCTTTCAAGTCCTTACGCGTTGTCTGCGTGCTTTTTGAGCGCCCTTGCTAAAAGCATCGTGTAGAAATGTGCGATCAGGTGTGTGACATATCATGCCGAAAAAAGAAAGCCAGCATAACAAGGTGATTTGGGGATTTGCGCTCGGCAATGCATTGGAATGACAGTAAACCTGGCGCTTTCTCTGAGGACGGGCGGGATGACAGTGCACCCATCTCCTCCGCTGAGGACGGCAGGGATGACAGTCCGCCTGGCGCCGCCGCTGTGCCGCTCAGGTGGCGGCTGGCTGGACTGACCGGGCCGTGCGTTCACTGAGGCCCGCCGCTGTGCCGCTCAGGTGGCGTGGTGGGGACTGACCGGGGCGTGTAGTTTACCGAGGGCCGCCGTTGTGCCGCTCAGGTGCGGGTGGCTGGACTGACCGGGGCCGTGCGTTCACTGAGACCCGCCGCTGTGCCGCTCAGGTGCGGGTGGCTGGACTGACCGGGGCCGTGCGTTCACTGAGACCCGCCGCTGTGCCGCTCAGGTGCGGGTGGCTGGACTGACCGGGGCCGGCAGTTAACCGAGGGCCGCCGTTCCGCACTCCACCTCCACATGCTCAAGCTGACCGATGCCGGCATGCGCAAGGTCGGCTGGTGGAGCCGGCAAGACGGCATCGTGCTGACCAACAGGACAGCCTTCTTCGGCGCCAGCGTGCCTAACGTCACCCTGCTGTCACCACCATACTGGTAAGACCCCCGTCACCACGGCGCTGTACGGCCTGACCTGAGAGGGACCGTCCTGGCTGTCGGATTAGATGGGAGAGAGGATGAGAGGGATCGTGGCGGAACCAGGGCGCTCTGGAGGAGCGCAGGCCATGCCAAGGGCCGGCTCGGCATGTGCCCGGTCTGGCGGGCGCCGGGCACAGCATAGACACCCTATCCGCTAACACCCTATCCGCTGACGCCCTGTCTGCTGACGCCCTGCCGCTGACGCCCTGTCCGCTGACACCCTGTCCGCTGATACTCTGTCCGCTGACTCTCTGTCCGCTGATGCCCTGTCCGTTAACACCCTGTCTGCTGACACCCTGCCCGCTGACACCCTGTCCGCTGATACTCTGTCCGCTGACGCCCTGCCGCTGCCGCCCTGTTCGCTGGCACCTTGCCCGGGGCGACAGCGTGCGGCCTGTGGTGACGGCACAGACGGCTGCGCTGGCCGGTGCCGACTGCAGTGTGTCGAGAGGTGCATTATAGACGAGACCGTTAACCAACTTTTTGTTGCTTTGTAAACATTTCAGTCACTAAGCTCAGCAAGGCGACCACCAAACACAAGAGTTTTCATAACTGGGCTGGACACGCAGCATGGCCAAGTCGTGCTTGCCTGCTGCCCCTTTCTGCAGTTAGTACAGAGTCTGTGGTGGTGATATATTTTGGAAAAGACATCAACTGGAAGTGTTGTCAGGCTGCAACATAGGGCATGGGCTAATGAAATGTCACAATACGGAAAAATATCATGAAACCACCTTTCCAATATCCTTCTTATCGTTCGAGCCTTTATTGAAAAGTAGTTCAAGGGTACATTTCACTGCACAGCCGTTTTCACCAAAATACTTTTGTCGTTGACTTCCAGTTCAAATTGCTCATACCGCAACCACTTGGAATTTTGTCTTCGCGTTTCAAGTTAATCGGTGTTTATTTTTCCTTCGCATTGCGGCCATATAGCTGCAATGTGACAAGAGAAATCCACTCGCGCTGCAGCTTTGGTCAAGTTATGATCTACGAGCTATAACACTCATAGGCCATGCATATCGAATGATGATTATATGGTCAGTCTACGCTCATGATGCTTAGATGACACCAATCAGTCCATCGTCTCCTGAGGCGTAGGTGACACACCATCAGTCAAGCATACCATGAGCGTAGATGACACCATCATTAAGCGTCCCATGAGGCGTAGCTGACACCAGCATTGAGGTCTTATCATGCACAGCCGACACCATCATTAAGCGTCCCAATGCGGCGTAGATGGCACCATCATTAAGCGCCTCATGAGGCGTAGAAAGCAACCCTCAGTAAGCGTATCCCATGAGCGCTTTCACGCGTGATGTTAGCCAGTCCCGTCACGTCCACCGATGTCCTGCTGAGCTGGGCGGAAGCTCAGGGGATGTCGTCTGGATGCCGGGTGCGGGCGGACAATGCCGCACGCGCAGGGACGAATAACTAGGTCATTAGTGGAGGCCGTGACTATCCCTGCCGCCACCGCCGCCGCCGCCGCCGCCGCCGCCGCCGCCAGAGGCGTGGCTGGCGACAGCCGCCCGCCCGGCCGAGGCGTGGCTGTTCATAGAGCTAAACGTTTCCCTGAGGGTCCGCGTGACAAATGATGCAGGCTCATTGGTCCGCGTGTTTGCCGGCACGAGTGGAGAATACTGAGAAATGTTGGCGTGACAGACCAGCCGGCAGTCGGGACTGGCATCTTTGAATAGTAAAGTGCGGACGTTAAGGACAGTTGGCATGGCTTGAGCCACACCCGTGACCGCCAGCCACACCCGCCCTCTTCACCGACGTGGCTGACACTGCCTTTTTTGCGTTGCGCGTCGATAATGACCCATCACTCGTGAAGGAAATGAACCGTCACCCAGCATCATTTAATCTGCATTCGCGTCACAGTCAGTAATATGAATGGACAGAGGGTGCTCAGTAGACTGGAAATAGCCGTGCATTGAGATACTCAAACAATAAACCTGCATATTTTCCGCACTCCCCAGAGACATGCAGTCGTTAGTGCCATGCAACCACTTCAATTTTCCCCGGGGAATGTTTTTTAGCACTGGTAAATTGGTGAATTGGTGAAGGTGAATTTTGTTTAGCACTGCTGCCGTCTCGTAGCAGCGTCACGACGTTCGATCACGCGAAAGAATGAATGCACGCGCTCGAAATTAGCATTTATAAGTTCTCCGAAGTACTAAAATGCGGTGCGTTGTCTTAAGAACACTGTTTTATCGTGGAAGCATGCGCAAGAGCACGATATCCAGCATTGGCCAACTCCTGCGCTCTCTGTGCCGCCAGTGTGCCTTGCCGTTCCCGTGTCGGCTTTCATATGTAAAATTGCGCGCTGTAATTGCTGCCTATCTGCTGTTGCCTATACGCGCAAAGGGGGGTGTTTCACACTTGTATGGGGTTTTTAACCGGAATAGCCATCTAGAGGATCATTCGTTGCAGTTCAATTAAGATCTAATTACCCTAGTTTCTGAGCTATACGCCCGCAAAGATGTGTGTTGTGCAAGGTAAGATAGCGTAGCCAAACCATAACGTATTGATGAGTTAATTTACTAAACAGAGAAATTGTGCTGTCTGGAGCAATCTTTTCCACTTATAATTATATCAATAGTTATGAGCGAGCTTATTGTATCATATATGATGTTTGCTTCACTATGTTCAAATGTGAAGTTCAGGTACGTTCAAATGCAATTCCCTTTAAATATTTTGATGAAAAGGCAGACACACAGCAGGTTGATCTACATTAAAACCGAATACCACCCGCGCCTGCCTGTCGCGAACATCTGCTCTCTTCTTTAGCTGACCCCCTCGGTAGTTCACCCGGACCGGCGTCGACCGTTGCTATTAGTCACTTATCCAAGCGCGGGTCTGCAACACACACACACACACACACACACACACACACACACACACACACACACACACACACACACACACACACACACACACACACACACACACACACACACACACACACCACACACACACACACACACACACACACACACACACACCACACACACACACACACACCACACACACACACACACACACACACACACCACACACACACACACACACACACACACACCACACACACACACACACACACACACACACACACAACACACACACACACACACACACACACACACACGCACACACACACACACCGGCCGCGCATCGCTTCCCCGCTATCCCCAGCGCGGACCGGCATTACACGTGCATTCGGCGGCCGGGCGCCAGTCCGCCTGGCCCGGCGGCGCTTCGGTGATGGGCAACTCGTGCGGCGGGAAGAAACAGCGCGAGAGATAGAGAGAGAGAGAGAGAGAGAGAGAGAGAGAGAGGAGAGAGAGAGAGAGAGAGAAGAGAGAGAGAGAGGAGAGAGAGAGAGAGAGAGAGAGAGAGAGAGAGAGAGAGAGAGAGAGGAGAGAGAGAGAGAGAGAGAGAGAGAGAGAGATAGAGAGAGAGAGAGAGAGAAGACGAGTATAGAGAGAGAGAGGAGCGAGAGAGAGAGAAGAGCTAGACGCCTTATATATATTTAAAACAAATTGTAGATAATATTAGCAGCTCTATATTTAAGCAGCGCCTTAGAATATGTCTCACCACTTGTGGCATGTGAAACCTATGAGATATAGTCCAGGTGTTTCACACATGCATGACAGACCCCAGCTGCCTAGACTGGGCTTACGCTCCTGCAGGTGGGTGCCTGGAAGGTATGCTGCGCCGCATAGTCTGAGTATAGCGGAACAGACGCTTTCAGCAGGCAACAGATGTCGCGTCCACGCGAATGGAAGTCAACCCTACGCCTTTGCCACAAGGCTGATAAACGGAAGAACGGCCTTGGTGATACATCTCATTCACAACACTTATATTTTATCATAAAGCCTGAAGCCAAGCATGAAACTTTGTAGGCAAAATTTCCGCTCGCTTATCTCCACTTTGGCACAAGACCCCAGTCCTGGATGGCGTCGTGGATACTTTGATAGCGAAGAGTAGAAGTTTGTCTACGGCATCGTGCAAAGGAATATCATGTAGATTTCTTAAGTTTGTTGGCGTCTTGTTGCGTAGTAGAATAAAAATGGCTGCTCGTTAACTGAACCTAAAGTCAGTTATAAAGAACCCTAGTTTCTCTTCACACATCCAAATGTCTTCATTTAGCGCAGCAACTGCGCGTGTTGCAGGCAGGGACGTTATCTGATGTGCTTCCAGGTGTGCTGGGGGGGGGGGGGGGGAATATGATCCCTTAGTGCCAACTGGAGTTCCCCGCCTCTTCTCTGGCCCCCCGCAATGCATATAAACAGAAACGGAAAAGTGGGCCGAAAAAATACAGATACAAATATCACAACTATTAGCAAACTAAAAACATAGACACGTTGTTTTTTACATGCCATCTCATTCATATATTGACCCAGGCTGCCAATTTCGACAAGTTTTTTACATGATAAAACCTGCATTGAGATGAAGAACAATTGACTGCAACATGCGGCTGCCCATATAGCAGTTAATTCATGTTCCCCTCAACGGCGGCAAGTGTCCTTGTCGCACTTTTTCACATCAAAGGCACAGCATAGCAGTTTAAGGCTGGTCTGGATTCCAGCGAAACGATTCCCGAAAAATCCAGTGAAATCTGCAACGTGTGCAGTGTCCCACATCCCGTTGAAGCCACTCAGGGACCCAGTCGGGGACAAAAAGGGAGCGGCTAAAGTGACTGGTGCCCACCCCCGTCACAGGTCCGTGAATCAGAAGGCATGCGCCCTAACCAGTGGAGCTACAGGAACTGACTAAGCACATTGTGGGACGGGACGATTTAAAGGGCAACTTGGCAATATATCTGCAAGATTGTGGAACCACACCCAAGGCATAGGGGAATATAATCAGCGCACTTTGTGCGGTGAGTGCAAGATATATTGGAGCGGTGTTAATCAGTTCATGTGAAGAAAACTGGCCGTCAACATTGCTTCAAAATATCGAGCTTCTTCAATATCTTTGAAGATGTTGTCCACCACTTTCTCATGACATAATGAAGGTGGGTTATTTTCTACGTGGCAACTCCTAGCTCATCACCATAAAACATCAAGATTTTCGCCATTTAATACTAACATCGATTTCCATTGCATGTCAAATCATTGATGATTCCATTAAGATGGCCATTCCGCGAACTCATTCGGTTAACAGTCTGTACCTATCTGCCTTTCGTTATCAACATCTCTGTTGAGAAAGTCATGCAAGCTTAGTTTTACACTTACAAATAAGTACATTGCATAGCACTACACGGACTGAATTTCAGCATCTGGTCCAGCCCAGTCCAGCTGGTCCAGATTATTTGAACTAAATGTTGTAAGTGATGCATGATAATTACATGTTTTAAGTGATGGCACAGTTTCTAGCTCATCCATTGAAAAACCCTTTGCAACCGTAGGAAAACTTGCGATATTTGTGCAATGACCTCCAGCAACAGCATCGCCATCCCCAACACCATTGCCATCAGCGCTGTTTGAGCGACGCGCGTGCCCGGTTCCTGTGAGACCCCTCCGGCAGGAGCGGCCGTTCGTCATGCTGAGCAGCAACGCCAACCTGACGGGCAACAGCAGGTTCGAGGGCTTCTGCGTGGACCTGCTGGCGCGCGTGGCTGAGATGGTTGGGTTCCGGTACCGGCTGGAGTTGGCGCCCGAGGGCGTGTTCGGTTACCAGGACGCCGAGACGGGCCAGTGGAACGGCGTCGTGCGACGCCTCATGGACAAGGTGAGCCGTCCGAGGCCAGCTGGTAGAGACACTCAGGCGTTGGGCCTCCGACCAGATGGTCTGGGGCTCCCTCGCCGCGGGCAAGTCGTATCCGTGCCGTTTTCCGCGGGGCTTGAAAAGCACAGATAATTTTAGCAGTAAAGTGCGTCGATGGACAGCCAAACAACTGAAGGCGAGCGGCCAGGCGGCGGAGGGGCTCCGCCCGGCCGACCGACGGGCGTCGGACGTGCGAGAACGGCCGCGAGATATTATGTTTCAGGGAGGTTTTCAAGATAAATTCACATCGTTCAAATCTTAGAGTGGGCCGAATCTTTCACCTTTATATCTTTAAGAATGCTCTCTAAACAGCTGTTTAGCCACAGCAACACGAAAGCATAAACTTGTAAATATTTACTTACCATAGTTCACCACCAGAACCCAGCATCAGTTCACTGGTCATGTCAGTCATTCATCATCAGTCACTGGAAATGCTCATGCTTTGCTGTCATAAATGTAGAAAATTGTGGAGGTGAAATATACACTCGATCTACATTTTAAGCCTACTAATTGGTGTTCTACGCGTTCTAACGGTGCTTCTTTCAGACACGTCATGATTTTCGTTCACTCGTCAGCTGCCGCTTAGTGTTAACCGTGGGGCCGACAAAACATGAGCTACGGAGAAGCAATGCCGGGCCTCGGGTTTTAAATGTGAGGTTTGCAAGCGAGTATGTGCCTAACATCATACAGTTGGTTTCAATTTCATTTCTGACCGAAGTTTAAACACCCCAGACAAACATGGGCTGGCCATGTCAAAGCGTATTTTGGTACCATTTCGATAAATAGTGGAAGTTCACGGGGTGCTCAATATCTCTGTAGAACCCAGCAAAAATTCCGACAAGGCTGCTGAGCGCTATCGCTTGAAAACGGACATACTGAACCATTATAAAGCGATCAGCACGGTGGTTTATTCTATACGGTCATTTACCGCTTGCTTCCTTCACCATATCGATTTCAAGATACAAACGAAATTACATCTTCCGGCCGCTTTTAACTTCTTGTTCGGTTCAAGGAAAAATTATCTGAAGACCGCATTCTCCTGAAATCAAATGGATTACGCCCAGTACTTCATTTCGGGAAGGGTCCTTTCAGCACCTTTTGAGCACCTTTCACCATCAGGTAGCCCTTTGTCAATCTTGTACGCCTACCCCCCACCTCCACCCTTCCCAAAACTCAGACTACCCTCTTCTGGGCACACAAAGTTTCGACCAGATAATTCTCCTGACGGCATCAACTGTCTTTGGGTGCTGGGTTCGGGAATATGCTTGTTTTGCAGCCAAGTACGCTTCTCTACTTGGATTTTCGCATTGGAATTGCTGGGATTTGAACCATGATATTCTGATTACGATTCCAGCAATCTACCACTGATCTAACCGGGAATTGCATTTCATCTTGGGTACAATTGGGGAAACTGGGGAAAGGAAATCCCCCGCTTTGTCTTGTTTCGATCCTAGGTCAGGGTTCCGCATCCTGTGATTCTCGTCATGCCCCGTCCCCCACAACAAAGGTAAGTTTCATTCGATCCTTCTCCGCAATAACACTTGACGACACCCGGAGAACTAGCGGACTACAACTGATGGGTATATACTGATGCACCAGACGGCGACAATATTCGGAACGACTAGCCGTTTTTAAGACGGATCACGGTGCAAAACCTTAAAAACTTTTTAAAAATCAACGTTTTTTTCTAACAGCATGTCTTTTATCAGCCATTGTTGTCTAGAAATGTTTGGCGGGGATTTGAAAGCATGTTTGTAAAGACGCATAATTTGATAAAACTGTTGTTTAGCTTGCTATAAGCAGATTGTTTTTATGGACACATGTGATGACAAGTCTGTTCCTACCGAAGCTTTTCTGAACATTTTAAAAACATTCCTTGGCATGTCTGATGCAGACACTACAAAAAAACCCTGTGTCCTTGTAGCGTCCTTGTCCACAGGTATGCAGTGCTTACAGAGCTTACTTTCAGTACATACAAAGCTTACTTAAAGTACTCAGCGGATTCACATTGCCCTAACGCGATCCAAGATGAGTGATACATGAATGAAATGACCCTGAAAGCCCGTCTTGCTCCGCACAGCACCCATGTAAAGTGTTGACACAGCCAGCATCCAACGCCCTCGACCGATGCACATTGCTGATTACCAGGCTGACATTGCTGATTGATTGCCAGTTTTTTTTTTCTAGAATTTGGATGAATTGAAAGCATGTGCTGGAGAAATGGAATTGTACGAAACAATCTTTTCCTCGGCAGAGAGTTTGTTACATACTTAAACTGCATAGAAATTGTTTCAAAAAAGTTTGCCAGTGTATGAATCCATCATGAAAAAGGCTATTGGTCATTCGTTATACTAAGGCCTCGCCTAACTCATCACGTAAAATGTGTAAAAGTTACCATTCACCCGTCGTCATCGGGGCTTTTCGGCGCACTCCCTTACTGAGCCTATACGGTGTCGCTTAATTGTGACCCTGGCAGGAAGGGTGGGCACCACGGACAATCGAACTTCTGATATCCCGAACCCCGCACCTCTGGTTTCCCAGACTCGCAGCCTGACCACCGCGCTACGGGCACCACAGTTCCCACGCACAGGATGTGAGGGATGTGGGACGAGGTGAGACGTTCTCCTGCCCGCACCTGAGGCGGTGCGGGACGAGGCGAGACGCTCTCCTGCCCGCGCCCGAGACGGTGCGGGACGAGGCGAGACGCTCGCCTGCCCGCACGTGAGACGGTGCGGGACGAGGCGAGACGCTCTCCTGCCCGCACCTGAGACGCTGTGCTCCTTCTCTGATTGACAGAAGGCGGATCTGGCTGTGGCTTCGATGACTATCAACTACGCCAGGGAGAGTGTGGTCGACTTCACCAAGCCTTTTATGAATCTGGGCATTAGTATCCTGTTCAAGGTGGGTTGACGTGGCTTGTAGCATTCTGCACGTCGTTCATCGATGCCCTCTGAGCTTAGCGATTCGCTGTTTACAAGAACGCTCAATGCAGTCTCAAATTGTTAGCCCATGGAACAGAACAGCCCATGGAACAGCTTAAAATATGTTGGATAACAACAGACAGCATCTTGGCGACGGCTCCCAAGGTCTTGACAGAGGCGTTCTGTTTGCCGCAGGTGCCCAAGAGTCAGCCCACTCGTCTGTTCAGGTGAGCATCAGTCAGTCCTGCCGTCTGTTCACGTGAGCGCCAGTAAGTCAGTCCATCTGTTCAGGTGAGCACTAGTAGGTCCGGCCGTCTGTTCAGTTGAGCACCAGTCTGTCCGCCCATCTGTTCAGGTGAGCACCAGTCGGTCCAGCCTTCTGTTCAGGTGAGCACCAGTCGGTCTGCCCACCTGTTCAGGTGAGCACCAGTCGGTCCGGCCGCATGTTCAGGTGAGCACCAGTCGATCCAGCCTTCTGTTCAGGTGAGCACCAGTCGGTCCGGCCGTCTGCTCAGGTGAGCACCAGTCGGTCTGCCCACCTGTTCAGGTGAGCGCCAGTCGGTCCGGCCGCATGTTCAGGTGAGCACCAGTCGGTCCAGCCTTCTGTTCAGGTGAGCACCAGTCGGTCCGGCCGTCTGCTCAGGTGAGCACCAGTCGGTCCGGCCGTCTGCTCAGGTGAGCACCAGTCAGTCCGGCCGTACGTTCAGGCGCACTTCGCACCCGACAAGCGCGACCGCCACCGGCTCCCATCTGTTGCGCCGCGCTCACCCGCACGCCCGAAGGACGGTCTCTGTCGAGTGGTGCTCTCTGTTTCAACCTGCTCACAACTTACAGCATTATCATACGGCGTCAATAATGCTCAGTGAATGTCGGCATTGCAGGACATTACAATTGCCATTTTATTTAATGGCTGATTGTTCCCCCACCAATCGATGCACATCGTGTTTTTTAAGCGCATGCGACGTACACAACGCGCAGTTGTAACTTATTGTCGCTTTTCCTTGCCTCTAGCTCTCGGCCTGTAATTCATTGTAACATTTCAGGTACCCATGATCCCAATAGAGATGAGCTGTTCCAGATCCTTTCGTATCTAGCAGTTATAGCCCTGACTACGTCCGTATCTTTCGTGATGCGTGCTAGTTGCATAGTCATGTATTCGTGTTACCGCCTTTTAGCCTCACACCAGGCCAGAGGTTGACCAGACCAGACCAGAGATGTGTGGCAGAGGTCTGCCACACACCAGAGGGCTCGAAAGGGGCTCCCATCGGGCTCGCCACCCTCACCTTGGACGACTCCTGATGCAGGTCACGATGGCATGCTCGAGTCGTAACCTGTCGCCGTCTGCGCGCCCTCAGCTTCATGAACCCGCTGGCTGTGGAGATCTGGCTGTACGTCATGGCCGCCTACGTTATCGTCTCCTTCACCATGTTCGTGATGGCGCGCTTCAGCCCGTATGAGTGGAACAACCCGCACCCGTGCTTCGCTGATAACGACGTGGTGGAAAACCAGTTCAGCGTCAGCAACAGCTTCTGGTTCATCACGGGCACCCTGTTGCGTCAGGGGTCCGGCCTCAATCCCAAGGTTAGACATCTATCATCTGTTGCGTCAGGGGTCCGGCCTCAATCCCAAGGTTAGACATCTATCATCTGTTGCGTCAGGGGTCCGGCCTCAATCCCAAGGTTAGACATCTGTCATCTGTTGCGTCAGGGGTCCGGCCTCAATCCCAAGGTTAGACATCTGTCATCTGTTGCGTCAGGGGTCCGGCCTCAATCCCAAGGTTAGACATCTATCATCTGTTGCGTCAGGGGTCCGGCCTCAATCCCAAGGTTAGACATCTATCATCTGTTGCGTCAGGGGTCTGCCCTCAATCCCAAGGTTAGATCTGTCTGCCATCTGCTGCGTCAGGGACCCAGTTTCATTACTAAGGCTGGACATCTGTCATCTTCCGCGTGAATAGCCCGGCTTTAATCCTTTATTCAGACATCTGCCATCTTCTGTGTAAGAGGCCCGGTCCTAATACCAAAGTTAGACATCTGTCATCAGCTGCGTCACGGGTCGGACCTGAACCCAAAGGTAAGGTGGCTCTCATCTACTGCGCCAAGCGCCCGGCCATAATCCTAAAGTTAGACATCTGTCATCCGCTGCGTCATAGGTCCGATCTGAGCCCAAAGGTAAGGTGGCTCTCATTTACTGCGCCAAGCGCCCGGCCTTAATCCCAAAGATTAGGCGGCTCTCATCTGTTGCGCCGGGGTCTCGCTTCAGACTCAAAAGAGTTCGCCAGCGAGTCAAGGGAGCGGGTGGGCGATGAGGATTTATTCGGTTAATGGCGGCCTGTGTCTACCGCCCGAATGAAAATGGATGACGTTAAGTGTTCTAAGGAAGATAGAAGATCCATTTACGGAATGTTCATTTGTTCGTAGAGTGGATGGTCGGAAGGGTGAGCAAGCCACGCAGGGAGACCGAGGAGATCCTGCTACAATGGCGCTGGGCCAGGGTGGCGTTGCCTTGGGAGATTAGGCAGGGGAGCATGTGGCTATTACACAAACATTTGTGCATCGGCTTCACGAAAGGTAAGAGTACAATGGATGCACGTGCGCATTCCAGGACCGTGAATATGCTCCCGCTGAACTCGCTGTCGAGATCGCGAGAAATGAGGGTATGGAAAGCGATCGAAGTACTGCTGAGATTCGAAGGATTTCTTATACATGCGAATGCAGGGATCAAACGAAGTTTTGCTAATGATGGGAACGGAGGAAACGGGTCTGGGAAGTGCTGGGGAAATCGGACTGATGGAAAGGTACTTGCAGAATACATTTGTGCTGCAACGTGACGGAAGAAAGTATCGAGCAGTTAGATAGAACCGTTACTGCTCGCCAAACTGGAGGAGTACTTTTCCATTTCAGGGGAGTGAAATGTTCAATATTTTAACCCTCACCTAACCCTATCGGGAGCCGAGATGCTGGCTCCAGGATGACCTAGTTTTCTGCTAGCTGAGTGGTTAAGAAATGACTCCCCCTCTCCAGTTAGTTTGCTACACGAGACCCTGCCGGCCCTCGTACTGCAGCACCCGACAGACAAGTGTACGCACTCACACACGACCCTCCTGTTCAGGCTGTGACGGCGGGTTTCGCTGCCGTAGGTGATTAGCTTCAAATTACAGCGGCTGCAAACGCCTCATATTACAGTCAACACCTGCTCCTGTCTGAATTATATTGATTTTCTGTCTGGCTGAGTGGCTGGCCGTGTGTCAGTGCCGCTCATTGGACAGCGGTCCAGGCGGCCAGGCGGTGGAGGGTGCGGCGGAAGGTCCGGCACCGCTGCAGGTAGGGGTCGCCACCGAGCCGTGCCTGAACCCGAATAGACATGTGACGTGGGCCGCCACAGCCTCGAGTTCTGGACTGGTGATCTTTCCACTGGGGCATCGATCCGAGTGTTTTTAGCAGTATCTCTAGTAGTCAGGTGCCTTTTGGGGAGGGGAGGGGGAGGTGGGAGGGGGGCAAACACGGCTGGCGTGGGGGGGGGGGGCGTGGCAACGGCACGGCGTAGCAACGTCAAATTTTGCATAGCTACTGGGAATTGAATAACGGATCGTTTAGTATCAAAAATTTAGATACACTTCGTAAGATGGCTGACCTATGGCAGGTCAAAGCCAGGTCATGGATTCAGCGAAGTCTGTTTCTAGGAAATCGCTCAATCTGATGCAACGACGGGATGTTAGACGAAGCTGTACATCTCTGACATACTTCCTTGGGCAACACAACAATTGAATGAACAAACTGCATTGTTCTAGGTATGATATGGTATGGTATGGTATGACATATGACCAGGTATGACGGTCAAAAACGACCTGTTTTAAGCGACCTATTTAAAGCGACCCACTAAAAGCGACCTGTGATGGTCTAAAGCGACCCTAGGTAAAAAACGACCTACTTTATTACTTCACGGTTTGCTTTATGGGGTAGTTCCTGGTGCTCATTTTGAATTTACTCCTAGCAGGAACTGCTTTACACGTCTTTTACCGACGTCTTAAAGGTCAGAATAGGTCACTGACCTAAAATGACCCAGGTCAACATTTTGTGTTTGGGAACATACTGCCAAGTGTCGTCTTTGTCGATTATTCAAATGCAAAAATCAAAGCAGTATTATATGATTTTGGTCACTATGACCTTCAAAAGCTTAAACAAGGTCACTGACCTTAAATGAGCATGTGACCATCTGCTTAGGACAGGAATCTTGACTCTGAGGGCACTTTGGAAGTTTGACCTTGTTTAACCTTATTTGACCTGAAGACCATGACCCAAAAACCTAAAAACTGGCCGAAGTGAGTTCACGCACAGGCTAACACACCCTGTAAATTTGGCGTTCCCAGCTTTCTTGGTTCTTGAGATCTCAGGATAGGCAAATTGACCCCGACCGGGAAAAGGATATCCAACCGGTCACCCGAGCGCGTGCTGGGGGTGGCAGACCCATAAATTTTGGAAGGCATCAAGTCCAGTGCGACGATCATCCAGCACATCCCAGCGGGTGTTCTCTCGGTTAGAGAAAACACGAACTATTTTACCATCTTAATGCTCTTAGCGTGTATTTGGAAAGGGTGCTGATTTGCATTTATGAGTTACAGTAAACAAACTGGTCAGTTGGGATACAAATCTGGTTACGATCCAGCGAGGAAATGGAAGAAGGAAGATGTGAGATTGCATGAATGCAAAATCATTATAGCTTTCCTTCTCAATTAGTTGTGTACGGATTTGTATTCCATTTTTGGACGAAGGGTAGGTCGTATATTTGCTTTTAGATTGCCGTGCAATGTGACTTGCAATTCTCTAACCACATACACTTAGTTGGGAAATTTCCCTAGACAAAGTGGCCAAATTTTCACGTCTATTGTCTTGCTCGTCAGAATCCCAGTTTTACCCAGTAGCCTAGTTTGAGGACCGAAATGCCTGATAGTTATCTTCGCATTGCCATCATCAATGGGTGTATTAAAAAACACCCCTTTCTCGCCCAACCAATCCGACAAAACTCGGACAAAGGGCGAATAGTCCAGCGATATCGCTACGACATTGATACCCGCCAGGCTGTAAGGGATGGCTGTAAATGCAGCAATTTACTTACCGAGTTGTGAAATAAACAAAAGCAAAGTGTAATGTGCAGATATGTGCGGTGGCTATGGCCAATCAGCTAAGATTATGCCCGTCACATCAAGCCACGAGAGCGTTGCGAATCGTTCGAAAACGAGACGAAACGAGAGTGGTCGTTCGGTAGCGTAATCATCATTTCCCTAACACCACACGAGAACAAGACATGCGCGAGCAGTAACCATCACTTTTAGCACGTAATATATTCCTTCCATGCATCACAAAGATATTACGTCTGCATTATATTTTTTCATCTACCATTGCGTCGTTAGATTAAAACGTCAGTATCAATGGTTGCAGCCAGTCTTCCCGAGAAGGATCGAGGCAGGGATGTAGTTCCGCAAAACAAGTGGGGGAGGGGGTGAGCAGGGAAGAATGGTGAAACCTATTCCCAAAATACCTACGGCGGGCCTGTCCCCGGATTTTGCCCACCTCCTTCCCAAAGCTGTGACACTGGAGCTCCCCCATCTCCTCAAATAAGTTGGAAACTACACCCCCGGTTTGAGGCAAAACTTGCCTTCCTGCTTATGAGAAATAGCTCAAGACTGGGTTGCAGACGTTTTGAAATGGCGCTGCTTCATATTTCTGTGTTAGGTCCGAATTTACACTTTCCGCAAAGCACACACTAATGGCGCTGCCGTAAACCCGCTTATTTCAAACGTCGCAGCTGTCAGAAAGGTGCTTTGAGCAAAGGTTTCTACTTGGATGCCTTCACTTGGATGGCAGACTATCAAAGTCGACCACATGAACTGGCAAAGTGTATTAGTCCTCGCTTTGATTCGCCGTTTTTCATAACGCGATCTGACAGGGGGGGGGGGGGATGCGATCCCATTCCCCCCGGCGTTTCCAAGTTTATTAGGCTAGATCTTAGTCGATATTTCAATGTATTGGTCTCGTCGGGGTATACTGTTGGGTGATAGTTTTTGAGTTGTTAGGTCAATGATTGATCCCATTATGCCAGGTCAAAGGTCAAATTTTCCAGAAAGTTGCACTTTTCAGCTTTACAGCATACATACGACAGCCTGCGCCTTCTGACAAATGGCTCAAGCAGACGTGTTCCTTGTTTAGTTTGAGTCAATGGTGTATATTTTATGTATTTTGAGCATCCCGTTATGACATGTGGCTCCGTCAACGTAACAATATTGACCCGCCGCGCGCGCTCCGCGACATCGTCCGTGGACGTTCGCCGCCTGCGCCGGCCGTGGAACGTCTTGCGGTGTTTCTAAAATATACCGCTGCTCCGAAGTCAGAGTAGCTAGAAACACGTTTTAAGTATCAAAACACGCGCAATGCGTACTCATTAGGCTACTAAAAATTTGGGGGCGATTGCAAAGCATACCGGAGAGGTACCCTCAAAGGACTTAGAGGCGGTCGCGCCGACCCCCGTCAGGGCGAGTCTCAAAAAGAGTATCCCACCTTATTTGTTCTTTTCACTTATTATAGCATCAGACACGTACGATTGGATTATCAACGCCAGTTTTCTTTATTCCTTCTGAAAAGCTCAAAACTTTTATTTTGAAGTAGCCCACTTTACGGAAGAAGTCTCGTTGGACTCCGTACTCAACACTATAAAAGTATTGAATTTCATTTGCTTTGTTTTTTTCCAACGTGTGTCTTCTGCAGTGCGAACAATACACTAATGTGTCAAAATATTTACGTAATAAATGTTGCGAAAGCTTGAACACTTCGTGTAGACCAAAACAATATGCTAGCGTGGAGCTATTCCGCAAATTTAACGAAACGATATACTATGGCTTTGATTTTTCCCTTATGACGTTTACCACAGTGATTCTTTTCGAGGCGCACTTTGGCTTTGGGAATGGGTGTATCCCATGATCCATGCGACGTACTGGTTAAAATTTCAACCAATGTGCTTCTCGGCAACAGGCTTTTGTTCGTTGGGCCAATCACAAATGTTCTTTTATTCGCACCAGTAGGGGTGCGCACGGCGGTTGTCGTGACAACGGTGGTCGTCACTATAGGGAAGACGTGTAGCAGCACTGGGCAGTGCTGTTACCGAGCGTGGACAGCATAATTTGGACTCTTGGACTGGGCATTTGGACTGGGCATCTCTGGACTGGATAGTTAAAATTGATAGCCTTATTGTGTCACTGCCTGCTTGTGCTTACCACTCCGCTGCAGTGTCACTACCCAGTGTTATTATCAGACGTAAGTAATCCTGAGGTTTCACTAGAGTGCATTTTTTAGAAATATGGGTGGATTAATTTTCATTAAAGGATAGACATTCCCTTTAAGCGGTATACAAATAGCGGTGGCGGCCACGTGAGCTGCAAACGACCGAACTCCCGTAAGGAAAAGATCGCCTGAAGCAGATGATTTATGATGACCTTAATTGCAAGCAAGTAATTGATATCATGCATGACGTAACCTTTTGCAGAAGCGTCTTGCGTGCGATTGGTTGAAAAAAGTGTTTTGCTAATCCGCCGACACTCCTCAGGCGGCGTCCACCCGTATAGTGGGCAGCATCTGGTGGTTCTTCACGCTCATCATCATCTCCTCCTACACGGCCAATCTGGCCGCCTTCCTCACCGTCGAGCGCACGTCCACCTCCATACGTGAGTACGGCGTCGTGGCAGCCGGGGCACGGGTTTGCCCCCTCCGGCCGACCGATGCTTCGGAGCTGCTTCCTTCCGCATGGCTGCGGAACTGGCGCAAAGGTTTTTTCTCTGCCATTGACTGGATCTTGTCATTTTTACGACGATTCGATGGGCCGTACGACATGTAGCCGCGCTCTTCAAGAGATTCGGTGTTTCAAAAGTTGTCTAGTGGTGCGTCATGCCTGCCCGTAAAAGCATGGTCTCGTTTATAGCCAGCCAACCACAATTTTATCAAATTATGCGTCTTTATCAACATATTTTAAATTTTTGCGAAGCATTTCTAGCCAAAAATCGTTGACAAAATGGATGTTGTCGAAAAATGAACGCAGAAGTTTTTTGAAGTTAAAATTGTTGTACTGTAATCGTTCGTGACAACGGCCATTTCTGCACTTTGTTTCCGGCCATAACACTATGAATGGAATTGTTGCCGAAAAGATTACTTATGTTAAATGGTATGTCGTACGTACCTGACATTCCGTATGCTTGTTTCACGGGACAGTATTTTGCAAATTATAACGGCGTCAAGCAAAATTTCTGGAAAAAGCAAGATACGAAATGATCGGGCGAGCATGCGGCAGGTCTTGCCACCTTTAACCTCCCAAACGTTAACGTTAACAGTATGCCCAGTTCAAATAAATGTAATATCAAAATGACCCTAACGTCCGATGTACGCTACACTAATGATAGCCACTAAATACGATGTCAGTAACAGCATCCATCAGTTGTGAGCAAGTCAAGTGAGCACACAACGACACATAGCATATCACGCTACAACATGTGCCCGGCAAGGTCTTCAAATTGTCTCTTGTCTCTTGTCTCTTGTCTCAAATTGTCTCTTGTCTCAATTGTCTCTTGTGCTGATTGCTGGTCAGGCGAGGAGTTGAACTGATTTATATAATATAATTTTATTTTGAGGTGTGTTTCATATTGACGCGTCGGTAAGACATGCCGCATGCCAATCACACAGAGCAATAACCAACTTCCGTGCGCGGGCGAAAATAACCTCGGAAGTTAACGCACCCGTAAAAGCTGAAAGGCCAATTGCTACAGCTTACAAGCATTGCAAACGTAAATGCAGCGCATTTTGTGGATAAGATTACTGGGTGTTCTACAAAGACCTTAACAATATCCTTCATCACATAGCCATCTCTCAGCCCCTGGGCCGCGGAGTATGGGCTCCCCTTTCCTATTCCATATGCGCAGGCGAATGCCAGCCGTGCGTTCGGACCCGGTCCGTTTCTTCACAGTCCAGTCCTGGCTGCCAGGCTCTAACGATTATCGTCTGCCGCAACACGCTCGGCCGGGACAGGCGTGCGCTCGGCTCGGCGTGAGCGGCGTCATTTTCCGGCCCACTAACCGCCGCCCTCTGGCCCGTCTGCGAGCTGCCAGGCGCGGCCGTTGGCGGCGCGACCGCTCGGTCAGCTCGGCTCGACCTGCCAGCGCCTGGACGAGGTCCTGGCGGCGCCGCCGTCGGGCTGGCCGGCCGCTGCCAGCGGTGAGCCGTCACAGCCAGACGGCGCGGCACGGGCCTCACCGCCGGCGCAGTCTCACCAGCGTAATACATGCTTTGCTCGCGCTTTTGTCCGCGTGGGTACTCGGTCTGTGGCTGGTGCCTCAGCGGCCCCGACTACGTCCTCAGTGACCCAGCGGTCCAGCGACTCCCACTGATCCGTGGCTCCCGCCCCGTCCGCTGCCCTCCCGTCCGCCGTCGCCCCCTGCCTCCATTGGTAGAGCTCCGGACATCTGACCTTTTCTGCGAAGAAACGCGACCGTCGTCGTCACCCTCATTTTATGTCGCGTCAGCTATTGCATTGACATATTGGCGCTGAGAGGCCAGGACACGATTGGGATTCAAACTTGGTCTCCCTGCGTGAGAGGCCGATGCGATGATCAGTCGACCATTACAACCTCCTCCCCCTCCCCAGACATCCGACTAGCAAAGCGTGAACGACGATGGACGCCGACTATGGGCGTCTTGCCTTAGAAGTGCCGTCTATTTGGCTCGCGAAATTAGTTTCTCTATTTGATTTGTTATATTATATACATGTATGCATATTAAATGCATGTATATATATATATATATATATATATATATATATATATACATATGCATATATATATATATATATATATATATATATATATATGTATATGTATATATCGCTGCACTCACAATTGTTTTATAGCATGACGCCGCATTGTTAACGCCAGCTGGCCATGACCCACGGTGCGCCACGGTAGCTGGCTGTTGGTCGGGCTCGGCCTCACCGGAACCGCGCCGGGCTGAACTGAGCCGGGCACGACCGTCGGTCCATCGGTCCAGCGATCTCTGGGGCGGACTGGTCCGAGACGCGCCCGACTGTTGACGTTTTGAGCCAGTCTCCGGGGCGGGACTGCCGGGCCGCACCGAACTTCGCCTGGCTGCTGGTGCGACGGGCCGGCCCAGCGCCGGTTGGACTCGGCCGGCGGTGCAGGCCCATTGATCGACGACCCAGCACCGCCCCAGGGGAATCAGCCATTCTATTCTTCGGCTCCCACGTCCGGCGCGCTTTTCCAGCGACGAACGAGAGGACAGACGCAAAAAGGAAAGCTCAAATGAACGGCGGAAACTGAAGATGGGAATTGAAAATTCAAGAGCTGTCTCTAATGAGGCAATCTGATGATGTTCCGCTCTGCCTGTTGTAATTGACGGTATTTGCCTAGTAACGTTGTTTGTGTATGAGAACTGCTCGTTTGATGCATACAAACATGATGCAAACATACTGATGTTTCGGAGATGCAAGTGTGGTTACCCTTGCAACAGTAATTGTAGATATCTAATATCGCTGCTCGTTCCCAAAAGCATAGGCGTGGTAAAATTCAACTGAAACGTAACCGTAGGTTCAGAAGAAGGAGCGTTTGTGCTAGCTGCATGGTCCGCGAAATCACTTCGTTGCAGTTCTCCAAGTATTTCAAGCATTCCCAAATCAATACATGGACCGATCTCATGCGACCTCAGCCATCGGCGCGTGCTTAAGCTCCAATCATCATCGTCACCTGCCTTCGATGAACCACGCCGCGTGACGCAATAACTGGCAGGGTCCTGAGTCGACGTAGGAGTGACCCGACCAATGCAGTGAGTGTTGTGTTCCGCAGAGAGCGCGGCCGACCTGGCCAACCAGGAGGACATCGAGTACGGCACGCTGGAGGGGGGCTCCACCATGACCTTCTTCCGCGTGAGTAGACCCGCGGACGGCCTGCAGCGGTCAGACTCGTGGAAAGGGGAGTGTAACACTGACATTTTGATTTTCGCAATCTGGCACTTCGGGGGTTGTGATCAGGGGAAAAATGGGCGATTTTGTCGCCCGAATGGTAAGTGGGCAAAAATATCTCCATCAACATATTTTGGGCCTGCTTGCAAAATCGAAAAAGCCCTTTTGCGGTCGCAACTTCAATAAGTGGAATAGATGGACCATTAGACATGCACTATTTGTTCTATGCCGTGATTAAACTTTTAAAGAAAAAAAATTAAAAAAACAAAATACGTCTGGGCTCATTTTTCGACAGATTTGTTTGCGGGCTGCGGTTTGTTTATGGCAAAAATACTTACCTTTTGGATAGTTGAAAACTGCTTCTTGCGTGCTCCTCGTCAAAATCCGTGGCGGCGCCTCTGCTGACAATATCGACTCCATATGTATGAACCGGGCGTGTATTATCGCTCCACCCACGTTAGACAGGTTTACCGTACATATCTCACATTTACTCCCAACAACCGGTTGGCATCTCCGCCAGGGAAGATGAGAGTGGGAAAATGGGACATGCCCAGTGAGCGAGCCTGATGTAAATACTCTTCGATAGTTACTCTCGTCGTTAGACCGCCCATCACGGCTCGCTAGGGATTGTCGGATAGCATGCGAGCCTAATCATGACTCACATAATAAATACTAACAACCATAAAACGTCGATAATGAATGCTAGTCACAACTTGTCTTAGCAAAAAATGAGTTACACAGAGCATGTCCGTGCAACGTTACCGACCTCAGCATATTTGAGAACCATTGTTCATACACATGTGCATTGCCCTCCCCTGGAAACATCCCTGCACGTGTGGCTCCCAATACGCGAACTATTTCTAAAATTCGGATACCCACGCCCACGAAATCCCTGGAGACTGGTTCTATGCCGGAGGACATAGGGTTTCCTTCTAAATTAGATTTTGTCTGTCTAGTGAAACAGGGAAAGACGTCATAACACTTATATTTAATTTAGGTCTCTCCCTTTCGTTCCCACGTCGCCTCTGGAAAATAATCATTGGATGCGAAGAAAATACACTGAAAGCCACAGCTTTGGATCAGCCAAAACAATAGATCAACAGAAACGCAAGTTGTAAAAATGAAGACAACCGCGCGAAAATCCTTCGAGTCTTTAAGTCTGTTTTGCCCGTTAACATCCTTGTAAAAACGGGCAAAACTTATGGTCAGTTTTTACAAGCTCAAATTCATTGACTTCGACAAATTCTAGACACTTCCACTGCGACAGAAGCAAAAAGTTCTGTTATCGGTGTTTCATCGCGTATGATTATTAAAGGCGTGTCAGGAAGTGTTTTTTCCTCAAGCACATCGATGATGTTCCGATGAAGCTTTTTTGAGCCGCTTGAAGAGAATGTTCCACATTTAAAGATATTTATGGAAGCATCAGATTTAATCATTGCCTCGCTTTTAAGTGGAAAGGTTTTTCTAGATAACTCAAGTTCCCTGTTTAGTAAATATGCTGCTCAGTACGTCATTGTTTGGTGACGTCAGCGTACCTTGCACAAGATTGACTGAGAGCCAACTGGCGGCCGTTATATCTGGAAATCATTCTAACGAACACCAAATATGAACGACTTCACAATTATATTTTTATTGGCCTAGATCGCCGCGCGGCCAACGGAGTGGCAGGATCGCGGGATTTGAATGTCATTATGGTGTCAGGGATGCCTGGCTGACTTTGAAATAGTCTCACCATAAAAATGTGTACATCTTCACGGGCGTAAAGCTCAGAAATTAGGATAGTGTGGGTCTTAAAAGGGCATGGGTGTGTACTGCATTGAATGGTCTCCAAGATGGCTATTTTATTTCAAAACCCCATACAAATACGGAACACTCCCTTTCATAAATGGCGGCGATGGATGCGCTCAGGTATAAAGCATGATCACTGAAGTGCCAACTCGCGAAAGCCAACAATGCCGTGTTAAGCTACGCCTCTCATCGTGGGCATGAGTTGGTCGACGAGTGTCGTAACCAGGGAGCGCGAGGATGTTTACCACAGCGGCACGTGGGCTGCCATCCCAGTGTAGAGGGCCTCCACGCCGGCCAGCCCTGACGGACCCGCTGCCGCACCGTGGGGAACCTGTCGCTCCCCTCTATCGGCACTGACATCGAATACTGAGCACTCTGTTGCAAAGGCTGCGTCGCTGAGCTCTAAATAGGAGGAATACGATGCGTAGGTTCTGAAAAAGATAGCACCGAGTACCTGTCAGAGGTAATCTGGCCCCTCTGTTGTGAGAGAAAAACAAGCATCCATTTGAGCGAGTGTGACCGTCGTGCGTCATATTGCGGCGACCTATCCGACTACATACTCTACTGCGTCTGTACGTGCAAATCTATTTGCAGACTTAAAGTACGTCCATCTAGATCGTTGTCACGCGTTCTGAAATTGTTTTTTATTGTGTGTGGTAAAATATCCTACTGATTGAGAAAATATCTCAACACGCTGGTGTTGGCCTGCGATGCGATGTTTTTGTTGCGGACTTCAAAATCATGCGACGGGATGTTTGTTTCCTTGGGCACGTCGTATTGCTATGCATCTACAAAGCCTCCTTAGTCCAATGGGATCAAATGGGACTCTGGTGTCGCCTAGGCTCACCGTGGCTTGGATCGTACCTGACCGTGCTGATTGCAGGACTCCAAGATCGACACGTACCAGAAGATGTGGCGCTTCATGAACAGCCGCAAGCAGTCCGTCTTCGTCTCCGACCACAAGTACGGCGTGCAGCGCGTACTGAAGGGCAACTACGCCTACCTGATGGAGTCCACCGGACTGGACTACATCGTACAGCGCAACTGCAACCTCACGCAGGTCGGCGGCCTGCTCGACTCCAAGGGTTACGGCATCGCCACTCCAGCTGGTGGGTGTCCGCACGGAATCAGCGGGGCGTAGGGTGCTGGAAGTGGCGGGCATCAGCAGGTGTCAACTGGCGACCGACTGAGCCGGTCTTGGAGAAATGGGTTCGGTGGCGGTGCGGCCTTGACTAGTTATCATTAAGACGCTCCAACAACGGCGGGGCGATGCGCAGCACACCGAGCCCAGCCCACTCACGTCGGCCGGCGAGTTCGCCGAAGCATGACTTTGAGCAATCCGTTGTAGTATATGGCGAGAGCACCCAAGTCCTGGTGGACCGGCAAAGGCATAATGGAGTCTATCCTTCATGATACTGTGTTCAGATCTCCTTCACCCGGACCCGGCCCGAGGTAGTCACCGGAGCAGCAGACTGGCAGGAGGTGGCGCCCGGACCACCGGCGCGGCCGGGGGGGGGGGGGGGGTGAGGGGGGGAGGGGCGGCGAGCGCACTGACCCAGGGGTCGTCTGCGCGCCGGCAGGGTCGCCCTGGCGGGACCGGATCTCGCTAGCCATCTTGGACCTGCAGGAGAACGGCGTGGTACAGATGCTGTACAACAAGTGGTGGAAGGACACGGGCGACGTCTGCAACCGGGACGAGAAGAAGTCCGAGTCGAAGGCCAGCGAGCTGGGCATCGAGAACATCGGTCAGTCCGCAGGGATGTGCTGTAAGAGGCTACAGCACTGAGAACATCGGCCAGGCAGCAGGAATCTGTTGTAACAGGCTGCACCAATCAAAGCATGATTAAAATCCAAATGCGCTTCAAAGCTGTAATATTTTCCTCGTTCTTAAAGAGGGCGTGATCATTTTATTTACTGACTACGCATGTGCATATTTTCGTCACAAATAGGTGAAAGTGAGAGGGGTGAAGGCCGCAATATAAAGCAGACGAAGCTTGGGTGTGTCGATCATTCCCTCTCGACTGGTAGATCTACTACTCATTAACCGATTGCATGACAATTCAACATGCTCCGATTGTGTTGCAAACCAACATGCTCATTTATCACTCTTTGCCGAAAATTTGTTCGTACATCTATGTTACACCTTAGCACCGATTGTACAGTTTTAAGTTCAAGCAAAGCAGTCATGGACGAGGGACAGTGTTTTCGTTCCTTTTCCTAGCTCGCGTTGGTTGCATCTGGCGTTCCCACTGAAGTGATTTTACGGCAAACCTGGATTTTTCCCGACTGAGAATGGCTACATTTTTGACAGATCAGTCAAAAAACGATCAACAATATCATGTACCTTGACGTCTGACACGCCTATGTAGAGTTTGTTCAAAATAAAGGGCATATTTGTCATCTTTGTTGTTGTTGATTGGTGTTCTCGGGCGCGCCGACTGCAGCGGTCATTTGGCGCCCATCTATATTTATAATCAATATTATATACGTTAATGCATACTTTTATTTCTAAGCACAGCTATTTGGAGAAACTAAAAATATGAATAACGGGAGCAAGAGATGGGGACACCACAGGCACGTGCGCGTGGCTTCCCGCTCTGCATTCAGTTCCACTGACAATGTTTATCAAGTGAATGAGCCAGCTCACGCCATTGACAACATAATCACGCTCGAGTGGAGAAGCGTAGTCACCCTGTCTTATGTCAGCTTTGATGTTTCTGGAGGTAATTAGTTATTCAGGAGAGGCCTCAAAGATGAGCCGCGCCGAGAGTAGTGCCCCGACTCCTGCCACGTGCAAGAGGCCGGCAAAAGGATGATTAATGAGGCAATATCTTCAAGAGGGGTAGCAATTGCTTTCAAAGCTTGGAGAAAGTCTATGTGTCAGGATATCCCTATGCGATTGCACTCTACTAATATTTTCAATTATTTTCACGATGTTTAAACTTCAGTTATATATTTAACAGCTTAGCACGAATGAGGATGAAACTATCTTTAAACACAAGGTAGCAAGCGAATCAAACATGGCAGACCAGGCCTCGCAGCAACCACACAAGTCTAGATTGGACCGCGACTATCAGGCGTCATGACCGGAACGTTCCTGAAATGCGGTCAATGCTCATGGCGTCTGATCACCGTGGTAAGCATTTTTTTCTAATCTGAGACTGGCTATGGTCATCGTAACCTTCCGGTTCAGCCGCCTGTGTTTTATGTAGCCCTAATTAGTAAAGAGTCGGGTTTTAGAATGTGGGAGCTCAGACAATTTACCATTTTAAACACATTTGTACTGAAAGTGTCTGCACAAAGCCGGAATATTTTGTGGATTAGCGTGTCTCGGTTTTTTAATTGCAAGTTGTTAGCTTGTTCAGCCTGCTTCGCCCGTGATTATGACAACAGCTTGAAACGTTGGGTGCTGTCAATAAAACCAATGTTTTTTTCTGGAAGGTATTTTAACAAGTGTCATAAATAACATCAATGGTTAAAAAAATTGGACGTACTTCCTTATAGCTTGAAAGCCGATAGCTTAACCTCAGACTTCTGAATTCATAAAGTGTAGATTTGTCTGCATCTCGCTGGTGGACGTTGGTGGATTCGGGGCCGCTAAAGCGCGGCCACAACCCTACAAAAGTTGCTTAAATCGCTAGAAGGGTAAGAAAAGTGAATTTTCTTATCGGGCGTCCGACATTCCCCGGAGAATTTGTAAGAACGCTAGGGCTAACTGTTTCAGATATTTTGTGGGGCTTGTGGCGCACGACTGTAATTTCCCGAGTTTGTGATGATGTCTTCACTTTGAGCAGGTCAATGCAGCCCGATGTTTTCCAGCAACTCGTATTTTTACATCCTACTGGTCACTCAATAGAAAGAGAAACGAAGACACACTCCATCTTAATGCAGGTGCCCTGTAAAAGTACATTTGCACGCGTCTCGGGCGTTTCTACACGCCAATGGCTCAGCCGTGCGTCGGCGGGGCCCTCAAGTACGATGTACTCACGACATATCGCGACACTTGCGCGAGGCATGATCTATGAGCATTTCCCCCGCCTCTAGCACCAAGCTTAATATTGTACATGGTGTGCATAGCCGAGAGACATGCGTCAACGTTTCGAGACCCAAAGGTGGTTTCGGTCTACGAGCGTCATTAGCCTGGCGCTAAACTTTCGATAAGTTCGGGAGGTGAGCTGGCCTTCTCACAGGGCCGTATGGGTTCTATGCTCGTGAGTTTATGCTATACATTAGCACTCTCAATTAGTGGCTAAATGAAAGCGGTCTGGCGACACCAGCCAAGTGCTTGACCATCCGGTTGGTTGCTAGCACATGAGACAGGACAGGATGGGAACATCTCCATATGCTGCGCCTGGTAGCCGCCGGCCTCGTCACAGCTGTCCTTAGTCTGCTGCCGCTGTCACTCGATAACGCACCAGCTGCTGGTGCCTACCGCTGCTTATATGACTGCTGTCTACCGCCGCTTATACCACTGCTGCCTACCGCCGCTTATACTACTGCTGCCTACCGCCGCTTACACTATTAGTGCCTGCCGGTGTCTCTCTTAGCCGCGGGTGATTCATCGCGAGTCTGGTATCGATCTCGCTTCGCCCTGACGGCCGGCTCTGGTTCGCAGGCGGCGTGTTCGTAGTGCTGCTGTGCGGCCTCTCGCTGGCCATCATCGTCGCCGTCCTCGAGTTCTGCTGGAACTCCAAGAAAAACGCGCAAACCGATCGGGTAAGGGTCGATCCCAGCGTGTTCTGTTTGTTGAATATGTTTGGAGCAAAGAAGACACCACATTGGCGGCTATGCATTTCCTTGGAGTGCTTGATTGGGGAGCTAGGTCATCTTTCAAAGTACGCTATTACGAGATATGATGTCATTACGTGACCCTGTCCTGTATAGTCAGTATATTATCATTGAGTGAAAACGAATGCCAACGGCCGGCCAGTGGACTTAACCCATCACGCAACACAACCGATAGCATGATTGATTGGGTGTGCCCAGCCAGGGGTCCCAGCAACCCGACCTTCCTTAAACAAGGTTTGCAGTCACACACAAATCACAATCACCACTGATTTGCAATCATGAGCTTTCATGAAATGTGAGTTGCGAGTTCATAGGTTACTCCATTTTTAAATTGGCCTCTATTCGAGCAGAATAGTATGCCAGACCATTAAATTCTACGCAAAGGGGATACAAATTGTGTGTTATATTAATATTTCGTTGAGTTTTGGAATGCTCCAACAAGAACAAGATATTGATCCCACCACAAAATATTGGTAATAGGGCCCACACCAAAATTTGGGTGGCCTTAATCAACGCTGGGGAGAGGGATACCGAGGCGTTCACAAAATAATGCAAATTGACTCTCCTAGTCGCTGATCTCGGTCACAGTTTCTCATGCTCCCGCTCCACTTTGCTGAATGTTCTGGCGCGCTTCTCCAGGACATGGGTTATGATATCTTATTTTCAGGATATGTCCATTGGTCAATTGTTTGACTGGGTGAGTGCTGTAAAGATGCAACACGCTCCCCGGACCGCCATCCGTGTAGTTCTGGTTTTCGTCTTACCTGCCTGCTCCGTATCCCGCCTTTTCATAATTGACTGATAGTCATGACGAGCCGTACATTATTTCCATTACAGCAATCCATCTGCCTGGAGATGGCCAACGAGCTGCGGTTCGCCATGCGGTGCCACGCGCCCCGACAGCGACCCGCCCTGCGCCGCTCGTGCTCCCGCTGTCACAACACCACCGCCACCTACGTCCCGCAACCGCCGCCACGACCGCCATCTGTTGGCTGTGACGTCATCGCTGCCCGTCTGGCGGAGAACGGCGGCTCTGGCAATGGCTACGCGTTGGATCATCGCGGCACCTTGCTGGAGTACTCTTGATTTGAGACCCTCCCGCTGTGTGGTGTAAGTGTGCTGGATTTGGGCACTGATGTGGTGCTAGTGGACCAGTGCGGAGTGGCCGGCGACCGGCTCACTGGAACGAGTGACGACTGCACGCGAGATAGGACCGTGGACGGACTCCAGAGGCAGCTCGCCACGTGGGCCGCATTCCAGGGCAACGAGCGGACTGCACACTTGGCCCGCTTATGATGTTGGTAATGTGCGGTTAGTTGAATCTAGCTGACGGGGCGTGGATGGTTGCTGCTTTAGAGCGTACCTGTTACCTGCACAGTCTTGGGAGGTACAAACTGATGTGTTTTTTCCCACGCACGATCTCGTTTTTATGTGCGTGTATCCTACAGGTTGGTTTCGTTAAATAAATATTGCTGTAAATATACAACCACACATTCATTCATGGTTGCAGGTTGTGGTGAGGTAACTTTTATCAGGATAAGCACATGATCAAATGTGGCAAGACATCAATCCCATGTTGCAGCTGCTTTAGGTTGTCTCTGATTCTCAGGAGGCTAGCTTATGTTGGATATCATCATGAACAAGCCACCCATGTCGTCCACTAGTTCTAATGCATGATAAATCTTATGGATGAACTATCTACGTCATATACTACCGCCCGATAAGTCATGTCTAACAGTGGCTTAGGCAAGGCATGTGAATCTCCTTCACTTCACTAGCATAGAGTGGAGGAGATAGGGTGCGAGCAGGATTGCATTCATGTACAAAGGACCTGAACCACCACTCTGTATCCACTGCAATGAACGCTGTGTTGATCAGGCGTGCCGAGGCGTCGGCAAGAAAGACGCGTCCCGCAGCGGTGGGAATGTTGGAGTTCTACAGGTGCAGGCCAGCGGGTACCTAGCAAGCCTTGCCGCTTAGAGGGGCGTCAACCTAGAATATGCGTGGTTTGGGAAAGTCGCTGCATTTTGCTGCTTTGCACTGACGTGTGTTTGCCTTAGGTTAATTAATTGCGTTCACCTTCGACTGAGTTTATAATTGCCATCGTGTGAATGAATCACAACAAAGGGCTATGAACTATGGCATATGGTTCATAAATTTTGCGGAGCACTTCCTGGTTTTCACGATACTTTGTGCAGTGGTCATGCACAGTATGAACATGTGTATGGGCTAGGCTGCAAGTGCCACTTTTTATATTATTTGGCGGGGCACTGGCTCCCCAAAAGTCTAATTTAACCTTTCCCAACGGTGAGTTTTTCCTCCAAATTTCTGGAGCCTTAGTACGTACATGCGTGACATTAAAAGAGAGCTCAAGATCATCTGAATATTAAGGATTTTTAAAAATTTTGTCACGAGCAAAAAAAGAGAAAAAAGTGCAGGCTGTGATGTGATGTTCAGCTTAATGCAGATGAAGGAGCTCGTCAATTTTTTTTTTTAGAGCTCCGTGTTCGGACGATACTTACTGGAACATTTTCTGCTTTTGTCGCACTCTATATGTTTTGATTGCACAACTGGTATGTCTTGTTAACTCTGGGCTAGTTTTGTGCTATTGCATGAATATTGTAACACCATTCAGCGGCATTCTAAGCCACATTGGTTGCAACAAGCCACGTTGGCTGCGATATCCTGTCGTGACCTGTTATTGGAGAATTCAAACAAACCGGTCGAATGTTAGCACTCAAATGCGAGCCGAATTTACCAGCCACTATGCTCTGAAGAAACTTGAAATGACGAGACTTCGCCAGCGACTCCCCGCTAGCGCCCGGGTCACGGTCCGTGTCAACTAGCGAAGAGGGCAGCACCAGCCAAGACTCAGCAGCGCCGACTTCCACTTCGATGTGAATATTCTATGACACAGTCTCGAAAACCTGACGATCGCCACCACACGACCGAACCAATAGCGGTGATCGTCCGACGATGGTCAGCAAAATACTAGACGTTTTGAACACGCCTACCGTGAATACCGCGTCACAGCCTGATTACACTCTATTCCCAAAGACGCATATGCCCATAAGCGTCTAAAGACGCATAGGACCGATCTCACGTCGATTACCGAAGCCTGGGCCACCATCGAGGCCCAACAAAATAATAATGATGCCCAGCGCCAAATCTCCCGCCGAGGTAGAACGAGGAAGCGTAGTGGAGCAGGACTGTGGTGTCCTGTTCAGCTAGGGAAGACTTAAGCTCCCTATTTTTGGGAGGGAAGAAGTTCAAATCCGGGGAGAAGCCCGTTTTTTGGCGTCCTTTATGAACAGGTTTATCCATCTTCCTCGTGTAGCGCCTCACACCTGCTTTGAGAAACAACACCCCTGTAGTGAAAGCTTCATGACCGTTGCGCGACAGATTCGCTAACGCAGTATCTGATCGCCCAGCCCACAGCACCGCTCCAAAGTGGAAATCGTCTGAGTCATCAGGCAGGTGAATCAAAATCGCGGTTAAGTGATCAACAGCTTACATTAACCGCGTTGCGACACCGCACTTCTCAAAGACTTCGATCGCATTGGAGATAAGCTGAGAAGTTAACAGTATTCTCGCATTGCAGATTACACAAATGTAAGATACCGAATAGCAGAAATTTATATCCAAAAACATATAGCTCCTCATTTAATATGCGCCTGGCTGAGGGGCGCATTTGACCCCCTCCCGAAGGTGTTTCTGAAAAGGTATCCTAACGGTGCGGTACAGCCGCGCAAAATTTTGGCAAAGCTGTAAACAACTGAAAAGCGGATCGTATGGCGTCAACAATTAGATGTACCTTTAAAGTCGCTGACCCGCGTCAGATCAAAATCAGGCCGTGGATAAACGTTCTACCTGATGCAACAACGGAATGTTAGACGAAGCCATACATCCCTGAGACATTTCATTAGTCAACACAGTAATTGAATAAACAAATTCCATCGACCTATGGTCAGGTATGAAGGCCACACTAAGGTCAAACCGTCCTGCTTTTTTACTCTGGGACTTGCTGTATAGGGCAGTTTTTGGCGCTCATTTTGAATTTATTGATAACAGGACCCGCGATATACATCTTCCAGAGGCTTCTTGAAGGTTGAGGTTGAGGTTAAAGACTTGAAGACTGGTGATTGGTGACTGCAATCACCAGTGCTGGCGAATGTTTTCTACCGCTTCACTGTTGTCGGCGCAGAGGGCGCTGCACAGATGCTGTTTTGAACAAATTTATCGGCCAGTGTTAGCGAATCTTCAAACGCACGATCATTGTCGGTGTCGTCCAGACACCGGGGGCAGATACGCTGACTGAGAGTGGTCGAACTCACTGAGCACCGAGCATGCGTACAGAAGTATAAATGCATGGTCACTGAAGAGCTAGCTCAAGAAGTAACGCCGTTTCAAGTAACGTGCGTTCCGCGGGACATTGACACAGCGACAGAGTCCTTTGCCACACGCAGAGCTGCAAAAAGTTTACGCCCGTTTCCCACAAAATACGTATGGTCTGATCTGTCTCCTTAAGTTTTAAGAATATGTTTATGATAAATAGTATCGTGAATGTAACAGTGCCGACCCGCCACGCGCGTTCCGCAGCACCGTCGGTTACCGCCCACCGCCCGCGCCGTCCGTAGATCGCCGTGCAGTGTTCCTAAAAAGACCGTCATCGTTCCAAAACCAGAAAAGTTTGGACCCCGCTTCCGAAGTCAAAACACGCGCAATGGATGCCCCATAGGCCACGGGAAATTTTGGAGCGGTTACAAAACATACCAGAGAGGTAGCGTCAAGAATCTTAGATGGCTGGATTCCCTTCACAAGGGTTTTTTTGCTGGATTGCCACAGACTTCAGGCGATGTAGGCATAGCTCACTATCACTGCAGGGTTCAGAGCATTACCCAGCCGGCTGGAGGGGAGGCTGGATTGTTGCCATGACGACTAATGGACAGCTCCTAGTAAGCGATTGCGCTGCTCATGCGATTACACAACGCCAAATTGGTATGACATGGATGTAATGGATTGTGAGTCAAAAGCTCAGAGCTAACTCTCATGTGTTCCCTGGAATTTGTAGCTGTCAACGTTGAGTTACGTTCATATTAACGCGTGCCATAAATTTGGTGAGGATAGGCTCTTGCGCGTGGCGGCTACTATAAGCGCATTCCCCTGCTGTCTTCTCAAAGTTGGGGGGGGAGGGGGGGCCTCGAGCGCTTTCCCCAACGGTACAGGAAAATACGGCAGTGGGTTAAGCAGCGTTTGTGGCGACATTGTGGTAGATGGAAGAGTTGGCGTGTTTGGCCCGAGGACGAATGAAAAAACGGTCTTAGGGGACCGGCGCCAGCTTGTGAGCAAAAGGTCAAATGGTGGTCTGATTTTCCGCAGCTCAAGGGATTTCGCTTCCTTTTATACGAGTGTTCCAAAACAAATTTCCCCTGATAAAAGTTACCCTTCTTTCTTGAAAGTCTGGCTCTAGAAGCATAAGTTCTTGCGAGACCGGCCATCTTGGGAAAGCATGGGCGAGTTGCTTCCTTTTGACCTCCGAATCCGACCTTGGCTTCGTCCCGCAGAAATCGCCTATTGCCAGCACCACGCAAAACACTGGAAATTCGATCTAGGTGAAACAGATGGGATTGCAAAGGCATCGAGAATTCCTATTAGGGACGTTTACCGTTCACAAATCTTGTAAGTTGTTGAGCGCATTTGCGAGGAGCATTATGCATATAGATAGCACAGTACTAATAGCCTTGTTCCTCCTAGGATAACCAGGAGAATGGAGAGATAGATGGATTGATATTTCGGTTACACGTCTTCATCGAACCGAATATCACTAATAAATTATAAACTGCCTACCGATCCTGCCTCAATTTTCAGTTTGTTTTTGTTTTTTAAACAGCGAGCCGCAGTGTTTACAAGTCACCAGCGTTCAGGGCATTAAGCCAGGACAATCAAGTTATTACTACGATACAGTGCATATCTATCCGAGGATTAAAATGAGCGAAATATAAGTGTACACGCAAACGGCTCAACTAAACAGGTATCACGCATCACTCATACATGCAAGCGTTTCAGGTAAGCAGGCACCACGTATTGCACATCACCTATGCATGCGGATGATTTTTATCAAACAGGCACCGCACATCACGCGCCAAGCGTCACCAACACATCTAAACGACTTTTAGCAGGCACGCATCACGCATCAAGGTACTAGTGGCAGTTGCACGATCGGTCATGATGAGCCCTTTACGCTAAGGACTTGTTGCCGACTTCTTATAAGAAGAGATTCACTTTTTTCTTGTCTGGATGGTCCTGTGCTCTACAGAGCACACAAAGCCATACATGCAAGCGATTTCAATTAAACCGGCATGAAGCCGGCGGCCAGACATCCACGTACAGGGCTCATCATAGCTGATTATGCGAATGCGACTAGTACCTTGAT